CCCCAACCCTCACCTCCTTGTACCCCCAATATGTTTTTCCCAATAAAAAAAAATTTAAAAAAAAAACAACTCAGGAAGAGGTTTGAGGTCTTGAATATTAATAAATGAAGACTAGATGAGCTGTAGGAGGGTATCAAGAATATCATCCATGAAGAACGTAGATCATTACAAAGACAGAGGTGGAAGAAAAGACAAAATTGGATGTTACAAGAGACTCTGAATATTGCACTAGAGTACTGAGAAGCCAAAGCAAAGGGAAGAAATTAAGAAGTTAAGGAGCTGGGTAGATTATTTCAAAAGGAAGCTAGGGAAGACAAAGTAAAATAGTATTCTGAAATGTGCAAGGAGCTGGAGTCAGAAAATCTAAAAGGCCTAATTCACAGCATTTCTTACGCTGAAGGAATTAAAGAACAAATTCAAGTCTCGAGTTGCAATGTTTAAGGATGCTATGGGCAGAACACTGTATGATCCAGAAAGCATTAAAAGGCGGAAGGGGTATACAGAGTTACTGTACCAAAAAAATTTGTCTGACACACAAGAATTTCATGAAATAACATATGATGTAGATGCAATGGTGCTGAAGGAGGAAGTTCAGGCTGCTCTGAAAGATTTGACCAAAAATAAGGCCCCAGGAATTGATGGAATACAAATTGATAAGAGTTCAACAAACAGATCCCGCCTTGGACTTGCTCACCAGCTTGTGCCAAAAAATCTGGAGGACATCTACCTGGCCAACTGACTGAAAGAGATACATATTTATTCCCATTCCAAAAAAGGTGACTTGAAAGAGTGTAAAAATTTTTTAAAAATATCACTAATATCACACACAAGCAAAATCTTGCTGAAGATCATCCCAAAATGAATGGAATAGTTCATTAACAAAGAAGTAAGAAATATAAGCTGGCTTTAGAATATTTTATCGTGGCACTAGAGACATTATCATCAATGTCAGATGGATCTTGGCTGGAAGCAGAAAGTACCAGAAGAATGCCTATGTGTGTTTCATTGACTATGCAAAGGCATTTGATTGTGTGGATCTCAACAAATCATGGCTAACATGGAGGAAAATGGGAATCCCAGAACATTTGATTGTGTTCATGTGAAACCTATACTCAGACCAGGTTGCAGTTCTCATAATAGAGCAAGGAAACGCTCAAAGTAAGGTTCAGAAACTTTTCCAAAACAGAATTATCAGTATCCACCATCCATCCCTATTCCAAATCTATTTCCCTACTGCTTTCTCTAAATCAATGATAACTCCATTTTCCTAACTTATCAAGCCAAATGTCTTGGACTGATCGTGACTCGTTCCTTCTAGTTTATAGCCACTTCACTGGCAAAAGGTCCTACTGGTCACTGCTCACTAATACCACTGCTGTCACTTCAGTTCTGATGACAAGCATCTCTCAGATGAATCATATACTGCACTGGCCTCAGAATCCACCTTCCTATAAAAATATAACTTTTGTTTCTGTGGTATCAAGGTTTTACTGTTCAAAATGGCTTTTCTAGCCAATGTATCTTAATTTGCCACATGGATTGGCAGGGTCATACAAATAAGGTGTGTTAAGTCTATACACAAGAGGATTGGCTAGACCTTGTCACGCTCCTAGGTTTAAATGAAGTGATTTCAGCAGCAGAAATGGGGAATTTCAACATCCACATGGAAGAAACAGTAGAGCATGTCCTTTGGGGCCAAAATTTCTGAGCCCTGTAGCACCTTTAGGAGCAGTCACTTCAGCAAAAAAACAGAGGCAATCTGTGACACAGCAGAGGCCTTGTCCAGAGCTTGCTGCAGGACTGAGGGAAGACACCATAACTGGCAGCATGGAGGGAACTTTGTGACACTAACTTAAGCTATTAGGCTGAAGGCGAAAGGGCTTGTGACCATGCTTGAGCAGTCTCAGGACTGAGGGATTGTAGCTTGTTGCAAAACTGACTTAGAGTCTGTTAACTTCCCCAATAAACCCCATAACAACAAGTATGGTTTTGTGCAGTTGGTGAACTACTGCAATAGATTAAGGATTCAGTAGAGTAGTAAGACTACTGCTGGAATAAGTAGAAAGAGATGCAGGAGTGTGGAAGGCATGTCTGTCTGACCTCATGGGAATAAGCTTTGTGTTGTTCATGCTGTTGCTGGGGCAGTTCCCCCTTGGGCAGTCAGTGGAGATCAGACGCACCTGCCTCCATGTTGCCTACACTCTTTTTACAGACTCCCTTTAACTTACCCTCAATGAAAGTATGAGTGATTCTGTAAAGATGGAAATATAATTATCTACAACAAACCCTATTTTACTTAGTAAAAACCAACACCTGTACCATATGATCCCCATTACTTCTCTGAGTGCCTCCTGTCCTACTACACTTACTACACCGTACATCTCGCATTCTGGCTTAACCACACCTGCACTGCATGTTTGTATTTAGAGCCCGAGAACTTAAGTTCTAGGAATGCGTCAATCTTCATCCCACACATAACCTCCATATTGCCATTCATGGCTTGCTATCTCCTTTTCTTTGCTCAGATTTCAGCTTCTTAGTAAGGTGACCATCCTACTTATAATTGCAAGGTTATCTCCAATCTCACTGGCACTCTATTACTCCCTTTCCTGCTTCCTTTTTTGTCCTGCGCTCTTATCACTTTCTAACATATTCTATGCTTACGTTATTTCTTTAGAAATTGCCTGTTTCTCAATTTTCAATTTTATTTGAAATGGAAAGAGACCCCAAATAAGCACAACACTACTGAAAAAGGTAAACAGGATAGGAGGCATCACACTCTGATTTCAAATCTTAATATAAAGCTGTTGTGGTCAAGAAAACATGATACTGGTACAGTGACAGACACACAGATCAACAGAATAGAACTGGGAACCCAGAAATAAGCACATCTACTGATTTTTGACAAGCATTGAAATCAGTTAAGTGGAGAAACAACAGTTTCGCAAACGGTATTGGCAAAATTGGAAAACCATCTGTAGAATACTCAAGAAAGACCCACACCTTATATCATATACAAAAAAAACCAACTCAAGGTAGATCAAGGACCTAGAAGTAAAACAAAAGACTATAAATTACATTAGAGAAAAGCTCGGAAGAACGTTAGAAACCCTAATCTACAGTATGAACAGTCTTCCAAGCATAAAGATAAACCTAAAACAGGGAGAGAACAAAACAGATGAATGGGACCTTATAAAAATCAAATACCTATGCACATCAATAAACTTCTCTAGAGGGTAAAAAGGAAACCACAGACTGGGGAAAAATATTTGGTAATGACATGTCTGATAAGGGACTCATAGCTAAGATTTATAGAATACTCTAGCACCTCAATGAGAAAAAGGTAAACAACCCAATAGCAAAATGGGCACAGGATATGAAAAGATACTTCACCGAAGAAGACATTTAGAGGGCAAACAAACACATGAAGAAATGTTTAAAATCCCTAGCTATCAGAGAGATGCAAATCAAAACAACTATGAAGTATCATTTCACCCCAGTAACAACAGCAAAGTTCAAAAAGGCAGCAAACAACAAATGCTGGCGACGTTGTGGAGAAATTGGAACCCTTATTCACTGCTGGTGGGAGTATAAAATGGTGCAAATACGATGGAAGGTGGTTTGGAGCTTTCTCATAAAATTGGCAACAGAAATACCCTTTGACCCAATAATTCCTCTACTGGGAACATACCTTAAAGAAACCATAGCCACGACCCACACAGATACATGCACACCCATGTTTATGTTGTTGTTTACAAAAGCATAGAGATGGAAGCAACCCAAGTGCCCATCAACAAATGAATGGAAAAACTATGGTATACTCATACAATGGAATACTACACAGCACAGAAAAATAATGAAGCTGTAAAATGTTATACAAAATAGGGGACACTAGAGCACATCATGCTGAGTGAAATATTTGTCACAAAAGGACAAATACTGCATAGCACCACTGTTATAAAGTACACCTGACATGGCAAGTTGGGAGAAGAATAGGATGAAGAGTAGACAGATAATGACCACTGCATTGGAATAGATAAAAGAAAGAAATGTTTAAAATACATACATGATTAGGTGTTATATGTACGACAACAGGCCAGAATAAAAGATCTATTACTGCAAAGAGGACTGGAGGTGGGGAGGTTCATTCTGCAACAATGAATATTTTTTAAAAAAAAGTGAATTGGGGGAGTAAAATGTGGAACAATGAATAAATGAAAACTCTAACATCTCTGTAAATGAAGAAATCAAAAGATGAATTACACTGTGAAAATCTGCTGTCAAGAGACCTCTCCAGAGTAACCGTAAAGCAACGATGTCAATCTAGAGTCTAAGGTGTGCTTGATCCAGGACATGGTTTTCGCAATTACTTGCTCTGCATCAGAGAGCTAGATAACAACTAAGGATGAAAGAAGAAGAATCAATGCCTTTGAGTTGTGGTAATGAAGAAGAGTCTTGAACATACCATGGACCTCCAGATAACAAATAGGACTCTCTTAGAGAGAGTGAAACTAAGTTTCTCCTTAGAGGGAAGGATTTTGAAGCTCCATCTCACATACTTTGGGCATGAGGCAAGGAAGGACTAGTCCTTAGAGAAGGACATCATACTTCGAAGAGTGGAGGGAGAGGACAGTGCAGGAGAAGACGACCCCGGATGAGATGGATTAGTATAGTAATTGGGGCAATGGGGGAAGGTGTGTTGGAGTCAGTGAGACTGGCTCAGGATAGGGTAAGCTTCAGAGCTGTTGTACATAGGGTCACTATGAGTCACAGGCGGTTCGATGGAACATGATTACAACAACAATAACAATAATACACATTCCTAACCGAAGAAAATTCTCCTTTTTCCACTAATACTAAAAAAAAAAATAAAAATTTATTTGGTCTTATATTCAAAGCAAAATAAACCAAATAATAAATGAGAAGTACTGTTCAGCAACTGCTCATATGTGAATGGTCTGAGAATCAGCTACATTTTAATGGCAAATCCTTCTGCTTACCTGTTTAGCAATGGCTTTGCTATCCACTTTATTGTACACTTTCCGGATTCTTGCCACTGTGAGAGATGACACAGAAAGTGCATAGAGGCCAAATGACACCTTTTCTTCTGGTACCAAGGACACAGGACATGGGATTACACCTTCCGATTTTGCATCTTTACCTTTCAAAGAAAAATAAGCCTTTTTCAAAATCGTAAGTATTTTTCCTTAATAAGAGTTTTCTTATTGTTATTATCAATTTTTACATCGGTGGATTTGAAAATTATTTAACTAAATGGAATAAAGAAGCTAATTTATAACAATTTCATTATCAGAGCAGTTTCAGCTCTATTTATTTTCAATTAGGAAGCAGAGGTTTACATTCCAAGTTTTAGTCTTAAAAGAGTTAACTATTAGAAATCAAGTCATAAAACAGTTAGTCAAGGTTCAAAGTAAAAGGAAATGGCAAAGAGTGAAATGTCTATGACTTATTAGCTCTTAGTTCTTACTCTCAAAAAGAGAGCTCACACATTCCTCTATATTCTGCTAGACTGCAGAGTAGTTAAAGAGCATAATTTCTGGAGACTGCTGGTCTGAGTTTCCATAAACTAAAAGTTGCATCACCTTAACTGCTCAGTCTCACGTTCCTCATCTGTGAAAAGGGAATGATAACAAAGTACCTAACTCACAGTGTTTTGACATCAATAAACACATCTGAAGGTTTAGAACAACTAAATTTTAACCTACTTAGCACATCGCGAAGGTTAAATCAATATTATTAGATGACAGATATTTTAAATTAAAAGATTATTTGGTCACCAGTCAACACCATTTACAATGAACTTAATGACTTTTCTGAGAATCTTGGTATCAGAGAAAGGAGATGGAAGTCATCGCATGGAAAGAGTAAGACAAGAGACTTTTAGTTACTATCAATTCCTTTGATATCAAAATTTCTTTTGAAGATAACCAAAGGAGATATGCAGAAGGGAAAAGATTAAAGAAGGTGGCAAGGACAGGTCTAATAAGATGAACGTGTTTATGAGTTTCTGGAACTATTTTTCTTTTCTGCAACCAGAGTAACTATATTCAACATGCTGCTCTGGGGGAGAAAGATGGGCCACTCTGCTTCAGCATTCTACCACCATGGGAACACTATGGGAAAGATCTACTCATGGGTTATAACCTTATACACATACAAGCATTTTTACACTCATCTATAGAATAGGCGGAGGTTAAGATTATTTGTAGTTCAGTTTTATACAATATGAAGAATTAAGAGTAAGTTACTCACATGGCATACATACAGCCTGGAAGCTTCCAACATAATTTGGTCCTAGTTCATAAATGGTGGTTACATTTGAAGGGGGCAAAACTTCTTCGAGAAAATGTGTGGGTCCCAGGCGCCACACCAATGAAGCAATCTGGCGTTGGGCAGGTGGAGTACCAACATAGGCGTATACAGTGCTCACTACTGGTGGATTTGCAGAACCCGAACCTCCCGGGGTACTGTGAACATAGTGAAGCTACACAGAGACACAAGATACAAGCAAGCGTGTGAGATGTGACACTTTCAACTAAGAGAAGTAACCCTTTACTGCAAATATTATAATTATCCCTAGTCACACAACTTTACAAACAGAAAAGTGTTTGGGTTGAAAAATACATAGGGAGGCTAGGATTCCTGAATCTGCAATAGAATTGGAAACTAGACACCTGATATGGAAGCTGGAAGTTTGTCCTCTAAATTGTTAATGGATAAAAACTCTTTCATGCGAGAAATGCCAAAAATAAGCGTTGTTATGTCTGTTTGGTTTGCATCCCAAAATTAATGATGCTTTGATGAAAGCTGAGTGTTGATACAAAAACCAAAGAAATTCTTACTACAGTAGGCATGTACTCTTTAAATTAGTTCCGTTTCCTCTGATGTGCCAATTATACTGTGGGTCTGTTAGGTAAAACTGACAGGAGGAAAAGTGACTTATAATGGTAAAAGGGTACAAAAAGTAATTAGTAGTCTATCTTGTTTCACAGAAGTTGAACAATGAATACAAAGAATGGATGCCTTTGAACTGCAGTGCTGGTGAAGAGTATTTAACAAAACATGAATGATCAAAGGAAGAAACAAATCTGTCTTGGAAGAAATTCAGCCAAAGTGCTCCTGTGATTCCACCTCACATAATCTGGGCTTATTGTCAGGAGGGGCTAAGCCCTGGAAAAAGACATGGCTGACAGAGCAGAAGATCAGCAAAGGAGAGGAGAGCTCTCATTAAGGGGGACTGACACAGTGATAGTAACAACAGGTTTAAATGCAGCAGAGATTATAAGGGTGGTACAAGGTCAGGCGGGTTTTGTTTGTTGTACAGAGTATCACCCAGAGTTGAAATCAATTCAATGGCACCTAACAATAACATATGTTGCTGTTAAGTGCTGTTGAGTTATAGGTGACTCATATGAACTAAAGTCCTCGTTGACACTTGCGTGACTTTCATCCTTTCTCCAGGTTCATAGGGTTTCTGAAGGGAATCTATTTACGGAAGTGGATGCCACTCCTGCTTCCAAGCTTGTTTTAATCAGGGAGCTCCACCAAACACACTGTCCACCATGGGTAACCATTATCACACATTTAGCACATCAGTGTCACAGTGTTCAGCTTCACAGCAACCACGAGTTACCTCTGTACAGCAAGTGGACACACCAGGGCTATACAACCTAGAAGAGTGTTTGACCAAAAACAATTAAGAACAGGCTTGAGGGCCACGAATTAGAGTCACCCACAATAACATATACATTATTATAATATTTATACACGTTAATCTCAGCATAAAACGTTAATTATTGTTAATGGATATTCTTCTTAAAAATTTCATTCCCATTGTGTTTTATTCATATACACTGGATTTTCTATAATCTTTCATTTACATTGTGCATAGTAAAATCATTAATACACACTTTATATGACTATTTATTCTAAAATATATTTATTTATCTATGCCTATTATTATCCCATCTTTTCTACTCCCAACTAAATCTTTTTCTGTTCTTTAACCTCTCATCCCCCATATGCACATGAAACTGTGCTACCTTAGGGATTTCTGCCCTTCCCCTTTTGGATGTTTATACATGTTTTTCTACTTATCTTTCTATTTTTACAATAATGATCTTAACACAGTATTTGCCCTCATAAGAGTTAATTCACCATAATGGTCTCTAGACTCTCCCAGGTTATACAGTATTTTGCAAAATAGTATTCCTTAGTGCTGCATAGTATTTCATTGTGTGGATGTACCACAATTCTCAATCCATTCCCTTGTTGATAGGCATTTAGGCTTTTTCCATATTCTTGTTATTGTGAATAAACTTCTCTCTATTCATATCTCAGCTCTAATTTCCTTCAGGTATATTCCTAGTAGTGGTATGGCTTACCAATATGGAATTTCTATGTTTAGCTTTTTGAGCCCATGACAAACGGCCTTTAGAATGGTTGTACCATTTTACATTCAAACTAGCAGTGCATGAGATTTCCAATTTCTTCATATTCTCTCCAATATTTATTACTGGCTGTCCTGTGAAAATCTGTTACTTCTACTGGAGTTATATGGTATGTTGTATTTGCTTTGATTTGCATCTCTCTGATTGCCAGGGATTTAGAGCATTTCTTCATGTATACATTAGCCATTCAAATATTTTCATTTGATAAGTTTTATCATGCCTTTTGCTGATTTTGTTATTGGGTAATCAGGTTTTTTCTTTTGGAAAGCCTGCTGTTGTTCAACAACATCTTTAAGTCACCTGTAACTCACAGCTATCCTATGTACAATAACTCTTAACCTTGATCTATCTTGAGTCTGTCTCACTTTCTCAGTAAAACCTACCCCCATGAGCCCAGTTACTGTGAAAATCCATCACATCCAGGGTCTTCCTCTCCTGTGCTGTCCCTCCCTGATTCCAAGCACGATGTCCTTATCCAAGGACTGGTGCTTCCTGGCCAAACTGCTCAAAGTTTGAGAGACACAGCTTAAAAATTTTTGCTTCCACGGGAACAACCTGGTTTCACTCTCTCCAGGATAGACCTGTTTGTTCTCTTGGTGGTCCATGCGATGTTCAATACTCTTCTTCAGCACCATAATTCAAAGGCATTTATTTCTTCGCTTATCATTCTTAGTCTCTGTCTAGCTCTTTGATGCATAGAGAGCAACTGCAAAGATAATGCCCTGGAGCACTTTGGCTCTAGACTGGCACTTCAGCACTCTGGAGAGGTCCCTGAGAGCAGATTTTCCTAACGCAATTCTTTTGGTTTCCTGACTGCTGGTGCCAAGAGTGTTGACTGTGGACCCAAGCAAACTGTAACTGTGAACAATCTCAACCTCTTCCATCTATTATAAAGCTGCCAAAGGGCCTAGTGGTGAGAATTTTGTTTTCTGATGTTGAGTTTCAATTCATATTAAAGATGATAGTCCTTAACCTTATGCAGCAAATGCTTCAGGTCCTCCTCAGTTCTGTCATCTGCATAACGCTGGTTACTGATGAGTCTTTCTCTAATCCTGATGCCACATTCCTCATAAAATCCAACTTCCCAAATGATCTCTTCCACATATAGATTGAAAAGGTATGGAGACAGGACGCATCCCTGATCAAATCCTTTTCAGATTCTGAACTGTGCAGTGTTTCCTTGCTCTGTTCTGAGGAATGCTTCCTGATACAAGTATAGGTTTGGTATGAGCACAGTTAAGTGCTCAGATCCACAGTCAACACTCTTGGCACCAGCAGTCAGGAAATAAAAATATGAACTGCATTAGGAAAATCTGCTGTCAGGTACCTCTTCAGAGTGCCAAAGAATAATGAAGTCAGTCTAGAAACTAAGGTGCTTCAGACCATGGTCTTTGTAATTACCTGCTATGTATTCATCAGACAATGAATAAGGATGACAGAAAGGGAATCGATGCCTTTGAGTTGTGGTACTAGAGAAGAATAGTAAACATCATGGACTGCCAAGAGAATAAACAGGTTGTCTTGGAAAGGGCAAACCAAAGTACTCCTTGGAGGGAAGCATTATGAAGCTCTATCTTACATTCTTTGGGCAAGTGGCCAGGAGGGACCGGTCCCTAGAGAAGGACATCACGCTTGGAAGGGTAGAGAAACAGCAGAGGAAATGATCCTGGATGAAAGGGATTGACACAGTAACTGAAGTAATGGGTGTAGGTGTGTCTGAGACAGTGGATTGGCTCAGAATAGGGCAGGGTTCAGAGCTACTGTGCATAGGGTCGCTATGCGTCACAAGCAATTCTGTTGCACATGAAAATATATCTGACAATCCGGCTCAACTCTTGATACACTCCTTTGGTATTGTTGTTAGGTGCCATAGGTTCCTTTCATAACAGAATGAAAGCAAGCCTGATCCTGTGCCATCCTCACAATCTCTGCTATGCTTAATTAAGCTCACTGCTTCAGTCTCAACCTTCCTGTTTTTTCTAATACAGTGATATGAATTAAGACATGAACATGAGTATAACATATTGTTCAAACTGTTACTCTGAGATCAATGTAAAATTAGACAGGAACATTTTAACAGAATTCTTCTACACACACGTGTGCACATACATATACATACCCTAGTATATGTATTCACTCATGCTGAGAGAAGGGGAAGGTCAGAGAAGAAAAGAAGATCCTCAACATGATAGATTGATACAGTGACTGTAGCAATGGGCTTGAGTGTGTCTTGGATTTTGGGGATTGTGTAGGATGGAACAAGGGTTAGATCTGTTGTTCACAGAATTGCTGTGAGTCAGAGAGAGTTCTGCTGGCCTCGTGGATAGAAAATTACGCTACCAAGCCAAAGGTGGGTGATTTTCATATGCTACCCTCAGGCCTGGTTTTAACTGTTTTTGGCCAAACATTTTTCTAGGTGGTTTAGCACTGGTCTGTCCATTTGCTGTACAGGGGTAACTTGAGGTTGCTGTGATGCTAAACATCGTGACACTGTAATGGTTACCCATGGTGGACAGTGTTTGGTGGAGCTCCCAGATTAAAACAGGCTTGGAAGCAGGAGTGGCATCAACTTCCATAAATAGCTTGCCTATGGAAACTCTATGAAAGTAGAGAAATGATGAAAGTTATACAAGTGTTCAGGTCTTTCGTTCATAGGGTCATAATGAGTTATCTATGACTCGAGGGCACTAACAACAACAACAAATACTAGTAAACTACCTTATAATTCGCAATTTTAAAGTGCATGCATGCTTACCTTCACAGTATTAACAAGCTGTCCATCAATATAGAGTGCTGCCGTGCTGTTTTTCAGCATGCCTTTGCTCATTACCAGAACCAGATGATGCCACTGCCCCTCAACAATGAGCTCTCCACACCGAAAGCGAGCACAGCATGGGAGAATCTCATAAAAAGAGGATTCTTCACTAAAATCATCCACTAAAATGGGGAAGAGAAATGGAAAAAAAGCAAAACAAAACAAACCCTTTTGTCAGTACCATCTCCATTCTGATATTCATTATATCTTAAGCAACATGTTTGGACTTTATGTTAAATATGACAATACAAATTAAGGTATTTTTTCATTTTTTGTTTCAGCTGTTGTTGTTGCTGGTATGTACCATCAAGTCGGAACTGACTCATAGCTGACCCTCCAGTGGGTTTTTAGAGGTTATAAAATGCATGGAAGGAGGCTTGCAGATCTTTCCCCACAGAACAACTGGTAGATTTAAACCAGATTAAAATTTTAAATATTTATTTGAAATAGATTTATTACTTTCATCTGCTAAAAAAACAAGATAAAATGATAATGCACAAAAATAACCCCCATAAATAGACGACTCAAACAAAGCCTCGGTGATTGTAACTTTCCATGGTCTATTAGAGAAGGTCTTTCTATATAGGGTTTGGTTTTTGTTTGTTTGTTTTTTAAAATCTATATAGGAGGCGGTCTCCATGCACTTAATAATACTAAGGACAAGAACTGACCTGATCCACTTGACAACGCAAAGATGCTCTCCCCTCAAACTGTGAGGGTTTGGTTTTTTAATATTCTTTTTCTTTTCTTACTCATTACTACATATTTCCTTCCTCCCCTGCAGAGCACTCCTTGTTCCAGACTGTTGTCATACATATAATGTCTAAACATACATTCATTTTGGACAGTTCTTCCCCTCATTTGTTCTAATGCAGTGTTTATTATCTATCCACACTTTTCTCATTCTTTCTCCAACCCCCACCTCCACCTCCATCCTGGTTGGTCTGTGTTATGCAGAATTTGTCCTTTTCTGACTGAAATATTTCATTCAGCAAAATATCCTCCAGTCTTCCCCATTTTGTGTAATGTTTTATGAGTTCATTGATTTTCAATGCTGCACAATATTCCATTGTGTGAATATACCACAGTTTTTCTATGAATTAATTTGTTGTGCTTCCATCAGTTTGCTACTGTGAATAGCATAGCAATAAGTATATATATGTTTGAGTGGTGGCTCTGGTTTCTTTAGGGTATGTTCCCAGCAGTGGAATTTCTGGGTCAACTGGTATTTCTATTTCCAACTTAGAGAAAGCACCAGACTGCCTTCCATAGCGGCTTACCATTTTATACTCCTACCAGCAATGACTAAGATTTCCAGTTTGACATGTATTTGCTCACAAACAGCAATTAGAAAAACAACCAAGAAAATGAAAAACTTGTGATTGTATTACACTGAATTTAAATTGACAAGAGCCGTAGTAAGGCGATTTATGGTGTAAAATAGGTAACTACTGAATTCACACTTTCATCTTCACCAGTGTCAACTGTATTCTTAGAATACTTTCCTGACTCCACATGAGCTTCTCTTTTCTATCTAGTGCAGGATCCTCAAATGATAAATGGGCTCTGGTCCTAAATCAGTCATTAGGTTGACTCTAAGGTCAGTTAGCCAAATGTTTTAGTATATACAGTAGACATTTTAAAGCATAAAAAAAGAAGAAAGTAACACTTCCAGATACACTAGGATAGTTTTAAAATAATAAGTAATATTGATAATGTTTTGATGAAAGTCACAAAGTAGTATAAACTATTATGAACCCATATATGAATCTCAGATTTTTAATATAATAGGCTTTACAGGAATTTATAAACTGTATATTGTCTGACCTAACTCATGAGAGTTCACGAATAACATCAATATCTAGAATAAGTTAACATTAATACCTAGTGAATAATTATTGAGCCTCAATCACATCTGAAATGTGAGGTTAACTTATTTAGCTTATGTAAGAAATAAGAAAAAAATTAAAAAGAGGTATATTTATATCCAAATACTTAAAAAGATTAATTAAAATCTTTATTTTATACTATTTACATAATTTTGGAATATCTTACAAAGTTGAATTTGAAGTTCTGTAGTCTAGGACATAAGGTGGCACTTTGAAGAAGTTGATGTTGTCTTTCAAGTTGATTCTGTGTCAAATTTGACCCTACAGGACAGTGTAGAAATATGCCACAGGGTTTCCCACGACATAGTCTTTATGGGAGTGGACTGTTAGTTCATTTTCTTTGTGGAGTACCTGGCAGATTCAAACTAGTAACCTCTCAGCTAGCAGTCACAGTTTCATTATTATGCCACCAGGCTCCCTTTAAAGAGAGTTATGAGTATGTTTTAGTATATGTCAAGTTATGAAGGTAAGCAACAGATAATATTAATTAAAACAGCACCATGACAAATCTTAAACCAAAAATAGCCCCTGCTGACAAAAATGTCTTGAGGGGAGCAAGTAAATAGTCAGAAAAGGGGAAAAAAGGGGGGGGGGATAACACACAGGTTATTTGTCTAAAAATCTGGTTTATGGGATCAAATTGACAATTGTAACTTGAAAGCTCATACAGGAACCACTGTAGCAGGGAATTCCTTCCAATGATGGAGAAACAACTCAGAAAAGGTGTGAGCACAGCTGTTTAACTTGACGGATGCACTCAATGTCCCATTATAAATTGCTGAATTGGTGTCACATTTTGCTGAGCATATTAACAGTAACAACAAAATAGGTAAAATTAAACAAAAAGAAAAATTACTGCATATAGCAAAGACTGGTATACATTGGGGCAGGTATTTCACAAATATATATAAGCAGAATTCATAGTCAACAAATATCCTTATCAAAACATATCAAAAACGAGACCCAGTTTTCTAGCAAAAGCTGTAATTTCTCGGAGCGAAGAGGTGAAGCCTCCCTAGTATTAGGCACCTGCTGCACTTTGATGTCTCTAGGTCTCTTCTGAATGTGGCTTAAAGCTCAGTGACAAACAATATCTAAGACCGCATGGAACCTGTCCTATACTAGGGAAATTTCACTTGGCCAAGAATTACCAGCTGGACCTTAAAGCGACTGTGGAACTTTGATTCTTCTAAAATCAAAAGACAGAAAAAGACAAATGCTGACCATAGTTTTGGAGCAGTTCTTCTTTGGTGGACACAATCAGCGACCGATCTTTTGCTGACAGAATGATGGCAAGACACACATAATGCTGCTCAGAGGAATTTGCTCGGCGCACAAGAGTCAGGAGTCGGACAGGGTGGTTGTGTGGGGGAGAACTAAAATGTTCAATGCAGAACCAGCTGGAAAAGCTTAAGCCGGAGGGAGGAGGGAAGAATCTTTCACCTAAAGTAAAAAGAGAAAAATAATAACCAAACAGCTTGTTTTTACACATACTTACATCTAAAAAAAGAAGTCATCAAAAGCGTGTAAGTGTTAAATAAACTGAAGATTAAAAAAAGAAAAAAGAAAGGAAAAGAATCTCATAAACATACTGAAAGTAATATTTACCGGAACCAATGCCGCTCACCACAGCCATGTCAGTGAGACCTGTCGTGATAGCACTATTTGCATGTGGGGCCAAACTGGGCAGAAACAGGCAGCTATTAAAGAAAAAGAACATAAACAGTAAATATTAATCCTCTAATCACATTTGTGCCTGTTGTTGTGTACCATCGAGTCAAAACTGACTCACAGCTGGCCCTCCGGCGGGTTTTCAGTGGCAGTTAATCGCACAGGAGGACACTGCCGAGCCTTCTGCTACAGAGCAGCAGTGGACTCGAAAGGTGTGCTTTCAGGATTGCAGCTCATGTTCTTGCCACTAGGCCACCACAGATCCCTGTGCCTACTACAGTGAAATCAATAGCTATTTTTATGAAAAGAACAACAAAATAAACAGTGATAAAACAGTTTAGAAAGTACAGTGACGTTCCCAGCAAAACTTTTCCTTTAATTATGTTAGGGCTCAGAAAGGTGGAGGGACAGAGCAGAAGAGGAAGACCTTTAGATGAGATGGACTGATACAGTAACTGAGGCAATGCGGGCTGGTGGGTCAGGATTAGTGAGACTGGCTCAGGACAGGCAGGGGGTTCAGAGCTGCTGTACATAGGGTCGCTGTACAGTGCAGGTGACTCAATGGCACATAACTAAAACAACATACTATATTGGCTGTTCTTTTTATTTAAGCCTCTTCTTTATAGAGTCAACAAGACCTTGAGGGAGGGCCTTTGTATTTAAAGTTGGCTGTTATTGTATTTTGGAGGAACATTGTTCTTGTTCTTCTTTTTTTTTTTTATTTAAGGAACATTCTTCTAAGTGGTATAGCACTCTTGTCAATATGGTGTACCAAGGTAACCTAGGGTTGCTGGAATGCTGAAACTTGTGCCACTAGGGTGTCAAATGCCATAACTGGTTGTCCATGGTATAGAGTGTTTGGAAAATCTCCCAGTTTAAGACAGGTTTGGAAGCAGGAGTCACATCCCCTTCCTAATCAACATGCCTCTGAACTCTGATGTCAACAGTTATAGAAAGGCTTCAGGCAGTTTGTTCATATGAGTCGTGCTTGACTTGAAGACAATCAACAACAACATAGAATGATATACTTAAAAAAAATAAATCTACACCAGTACCATTTTAAAACTAAATTTAAAAATATACATATGCGTGTATGTACATAAAAATAAAGGAATATTTTCTAGTAAAACATACCAATTTAAGTATTCCTTGAATTTAACAAATATATAAATTCAAACAAGAACAAGTCTATCACCTATGAAAAAATTACTTATGTGTCTTCTACCTCTCACTACCGTTAATATCTCAAACTATTTAATCATTCACTGTTTACTAATGATATACATTAACAATGTGGTTAAAATGTAATTTAAAGATTTAGAGAAATGCATGCAAATCTACTAACAACTAGTAGAGACCTCAATCTTCTCCACTAGCATTTGGGCTTATTTTTGACACTGACAGACATCACAAACTCCTTTAGATTGTCTATGGATTATCTACTACTACTGCAGTTATTACAGCTTTTTCTGTTACTTGGAATAACTCATTTTACTCATATGTAGTGACAGGAAATAAGGAGACGTATTGCACTGGGAAAATCTGCAGTTAGATATCTCTCCAAATTATTGAAGAATGATGATGTCAGTTTGAGGACTAAGGTGCATCTGATTCAAGCCATAGTCTTTCCAATCACTTACCAGGCATCTAAGAGCTGGAGAGCAAATAAGGATGACAGAAAAAGAACTAACACCCTTGAACTGTGGTGTTGGAGAAGAGCACGGAACATCCCATGGATTTTCAAGAGAACAAACATATATCTTGGAGATGGTGCAGCTAGAGTGCTCTTTGGAGGAAAGAATGATGAGGCTTCACCTCACATACTTTGGGCATGTTGCTAGGAGAGGGAATTCCTGGGAGAAGTTCATGTTGCTAAGAAGGGTGGAGGGTAGGCAAAGGAGAGGAAGACCCTTGATGAGGTGGACTGATGCAGTGATTGGCACAATGGGGTCTTGTGTGTTGGGAAGTGTGAGGATGGCATAGGATAGAACAGGGTTCAGATCTTTTGTTCACAGGGTTGCTGTGAGTTGTACTTGACTTGATGGCACCTAACAACAACAAGCAACAAAGTGATAGACATTGACGTTTAATATTTTACATAGAAGATATTATGCTAGATGATATGAGGAACAGGATCATGAGATATAGGGTAGTCAATCTCACAGTCTGTCATATACTAGGGGGCTCTGGTGGCCTAGTGGTAATAAGCTTCACTGCAATTACAAAGGCACACAGTTGAAATCTACCAGCTATTCCATGGAAGATTGATGGGTAATCTCTTGTAGGATTTACTGCTTCTGAAAACCTATTGAAGGAGAAGCTTTGGGTTGGTTCCAACTTGATGGTACAAAACAGCATCAACAATAATCTGAAAATTTAAATTTACTCTCTTAGGAGTTAGGGAACTCTGGTGATTTGGTGGTAAATAACTAAGCTACCAATGAAATGTAAGCAGCTTAAGTCTACCAGCTGCTCTATGGGAGAAAGATGGACAATCTCCTCCTGTGCAATTAGCTGCTTCTGAAAACCCAATGGAGGGTCAGCTAGGGGTTAGTTATAGCAACAGGAATTAGCAAACTTTTACATAAAGGCCATAAAAGGGTGTGACATTACCATCTGAAAGGAGTCATAGATAATACAGGCCTGCATAAGTGTGGCTGTGTTCTAGCAAAACTTTAGTTACAAACCTGGGCCATGGTCAGTTTTGCACTGTGTTTCACAGTTGCTGATCCCTGTTGTTCTGAGTAAAAATCAACTCTATGGCAAGGGGTTTAGGTAGGTACTCTACCAATCTATGTATTATAATTATATTATAATTCACAATTAAAATAACAAATCTAAAAACCATAAAATGATATAAAATAATTCATGTTTTAGAAAATGCACAGTGGAGTTGTGGTATAAAGCTGCGCTGCAATCTCAAAGGCATGTGGCTTTAATTCATCAGATGCTCCTTGGGAGAAGGATGGGCAAGCTCCTCTTGTGTGATTAAAGGCCTCTGAAAACCTACTGGAGGGTGAGCTATGTGTGGGTTTTGACGTGGCAGCAAAAAAATAGCAACAACAGAGCAAAACAATCAGTATAATACATTATAATCAAGTGAATATAAAACCAAAGAAATACTTTTCCAAGGTAAATATGAGGCTTTAAGAAAAAAAAAAAATGCTGGGCTGTGTGGCAAATTTCTTACCCAAACCCTTCAAGGGATGTGTCAAATTCAACAAAAGCTGGCGTAACTGATGACCCATGAAGTCTGATGTCGTGTGGGGTTGTCATGGAGACCAGACACTTGACCCTAGTCAGGGGAACAGTACTTCCTTCAGCCGACTTTACCAGGCTCTTGCTTATCCGGTAATGGTTATCTTCATGTAAGCTAAAAACATTATCAGAACCCAAACCTTCCATAGATGTGATCATACTACCTGTAAGCCAAAGAAAATATCATGGGAAAAATATTATGTAGATTCTTCTCAATAATGACTTCATTTAAATGACTTTTATTTTCTAATTTATATTGGTTTGCTTGCAAAGTTCATATACATTGTGTTTAACACTTTCTTCATACTTTTTCATACAATCATTTTCATGCATTATGTTTTAAAATAACTCATTAAGTTTCAATATGAAAATATTTTTTCAGATTTAAACACTAGTTATCACCTTTAATACACTTCATGTTCATTGTAAAATTTATATAGCATGTTTCCTTCTTTAGTTGATTACCGAAATAATATACATATTGCAGAAATGCCAGATAATACAGAGCAAAAATGAGAATAAAAATCATCATCAATTACCACCTGAGCCCTGGCAAAAAGTAATTTAACTACAAATTATTGTTAAAGCTATTTCTAAATCAAGCTGAAATTTTACTTTATAAAATTATTTTTATTTCTTTTCATGAAGAAAATATTCTGGAAGCATCAAGATGGTAAGAAACAGGTAATCTTTTCTTATCAGAAATATCAATAAAAGCAGAAAACTTGTCCCTTATTTTTCATTCTTTCCTTTTAACTTTTAGGGTTAAATTTGTGAACATAACAGTACTAAACTTAAGCAATTCCTACAAATATTAGAAATAATAGTAATACCAAGAATTGAAATATAAAAATTTTTAAAAAGGAATAATTACATTTCCCCAGAAACATACTGCAAATAGTATAGATAAAACAGAATTTATAAAGCTGTAGCACCAAAAATATTTTCGCTTATTTTCAGCTACATGAAAAGTACTAGCTGAGTTGACCATTTAGATAACTATAAATATTTCCAATATTCCCTTGGATAGAATAATTTCAGTAATGATTTCCTTTCCACTCTTTATAATGTAGATTACAACTCAATTCTAAGGAACTGTTAACGAACAAAAATAACAAAAAGCAAAAGGGAAATGATTTGAGAAGCTGCAAAGCTCTGCTTTCCAATTAAACTAAGATGCAATACTATATTTATTCACTAATAATCATTTACAGGGAAAGAAAAAAGTCAGGAAAAGTACTAGTATATTTATCTCAATAATGGCCAAAGATGACATAATCTTTCTGACTTCAGAATTCTCAGCCCAAACTCGAAAAGGCTGAAGTATACCAATATATTTTCAGATCTGCCATTCTGTCCCATTCATCATAATTTATCGAAAAGGAAACTACAGCCACAAGTGATACAACATTAACTGTGAGATTACAACTACAGAATTAGCACTGGGAAAGAAGAGTATAACTTGGGTTCCAGAGAAAATGCTTTCCCGCAGCTCTCAAGTAAAGCAGGTAGATGGACTGTTCACCGGGACAATGACACTCTCCATCGCTTCGCCCATGACCAGGTCAGCCTAGTGAGGACTACCTGTATTCTGCTTGTTCCATCAGCCTCATGCAGAGACTCCGCCTCCTCTTTGAGGGTCCTCAGCAGCAGGACTATCACACGCCATTCCCTGAAACTCATCTGTTACTCCCCTAGTAGTTATTTGGTTAATTTTATTCTTTTTAAAAAAAAAAAAGCTTTAGTTCCTCTGTCTTCTCCAAATTACCCTTTGTCATTTTACTGGCAAATAATAATGTTCACAAGAACAACCTAATACCTCACTTTTAGCTCCTTTTTTCCAGAGTTAATTTCTACTTTACTCAAAAAAACATAATCTTATGTCATAAGCTAAACACAGCCATTGTCGTTACCTGTTTCCCTCCCTATTATTCCAAGCTTACACCTCAAATTCTCTCATTCTTTTCCTCCTATCTATCCACTTTTCCTTAAACTAGTGATCTATCCTTTTCTCTCAGTCTAACACTAGCTGGAATTTTTTATTTCTTTCCCTGACCTGAATATACTCCTTGGTGTATCATTTCAAATATTTTATCAGTGTTTTAAATTTATTTCTCCCTTCTGCTACAGCTAATTGTTCTGCAACTCACATCTTGTTAATCAAATCAAATAACGTTTGGTCTAGGCAGCAATGACTATTTTGAAGAGTGAAATTACAGATCTTCTGAGAAAGACATACACTCTTTTCCAAGTGAACAGTTCACTGGTCTCATCTTCTCTGGATCATTCCATCACTGATTCCCTATCGCTACTGTCCTCTAATCAACCTAATTGTCTTTCTCCACTTACAATAACAAAAATGCTAAACTGGAACTCTCAAATACCACACTATTAGGGAGCTCTGGTGGCCTAGTAGTAAGAAGCTCTGCTGCGATCCCAAAGGCATGATGTTCCAATTCTGCAGGAGAAGGATGGACAATCACCTTCTATGAGATTCGCCTCTGAAAACCCCTCTGGAGGTTCAGCTATGGGTTGGTTTCATCTCTACGGAACACAACAACCACTCTATTCTAAAAGTTCCAAACAATTCTCTAACATCTAGACAGAATTATTACCAAATATAAATTTCATTCAGCATCATACATGATCTGGTATCTACCATTTTTTCAACCGTAGTTTCTAGGAATGATCAGTGGTGAGGACTAATGGGTAATTATCATCATAAATGGGGACAATACTGATGTTATCCAGGATTTCATTTTATTTGGATTCACAATCAACATTGTGGGAAATAGAAGTCAAGAAATCAAAAGATGTGGTGCATTGGGAAATTACACATATTTTGAAGAGCTCTAGAGGAAGAATGAAGTTTGAAGACCCAAGCCACAGTATTTTCAATCATATCATATACTTAGGAAAGTTGGACAATGAATAAGGAAGAACTGATGTGTCTGAATTGTGGTGAGGTTGAAGAGTACTAAGTATTAAATGGACTACAAAAGAACAAACAACTCAGTCTTAGAAGTGTAGGCAGGATGCAAATAGAGTGAATTTCATTTTACATCGTTTAGGCATGTTTTCAGGAGAGGACAAGTGTCTGGAGAAGGGCACCAATCTTGGAAAAGTAGAAGATGAGAAGAGAGGAAGACCTTCAACCAGACAGATTAACACAATGACTGCCAAAATCAGTTTAAGGATAGCAGAAATTGTGAGGATGGCACAAGAGTGAGCAAAGTTTTACTGATTGAGATCTGGGAGCCTAGTGGTAAGAAGCTACACTGCACTCCCAAAGGCACATGGTTCAAATCCATCAGATGCTCCACAGGAGAAGGAGCAACAATCTTTTCCTGTGCCTTCAAAACCTATTGCCTCTGAAAACCCACTGGAGGGTGAGTCCAAAGCTGGTTCTGATTCCAAGGCAAAAAACAGTAATAAAGCCACAATAAGTCAGAGCCAACTCAACGGCACCTAACAACAGGAAGTGCCAAGGTTTCTGACACCTCTAGGCCTTACATATGTTTCTTAAAACATATTCTCTATTATTTTTAAGGCTATTTTCCTATTCAACCTTTGAAAATCCAAGAAATGAATGGCAAATCCAAGTGTATTATTTATTAAGTCAGAATGAAAGAGAAAAATTTGTATGTGAAAAAATATTATTTAAAGATTCAATTCTAAAGTATAGTAATGTTACCAATTATTTCTACTATTAAACATAGGCATAGTTCAAAAGAAAAACAAGTTTTGTTATAACTATGGTTATATAGAATATCAAATCAATAGAAATCAGAGAACTATCTAGTGCCTAATTTCCCTAATACATATTGGGACTTCTTTTGTTATACAAACAGCCTGGCTATAGGGTATAGGACACTCATCTTAAGGGACAGGACATCTAGGTTTGAGAATCAATATCTTTGACCAAGGTATTTATACTTCTGTGTTTAAGCTGCTTCATGTATGAAGTGAAAAGATTAGACAAGATGATTTTGCACTTTAGGTTTCTAAGATTTTATTATTTTATCAGATGATTCCAAACTCTTTTATGATCTTCTGTTATGTAAGGAAGGTGAAATTGAAATCATTTTATGCATGTCTTAATCTATAGATTAACATCATTTAAGTCTATTCCTCATATATGATTTCCAGCTATGACACAAACAAAAATGAGAACTTCAAAGCACTTACTTCTCATCTCGGGCTCATAACTCAGTGAACTTGGTTTATGGACCCTATATTGTTTTAAAAGTTTTTTGTCCCAGGCACCACAATTTAAAGGACTGGCCAAACGCAAAAACTCCCTAAATCAAAAACAAAGCAAAGAACATTATATAATTCATAAACTATACAACGAGGAATTCAGTGTAACGGACTAGCTATAATATAAAAGAAATGCAAACACTCACCATAAAACAATGGAAAATTCTTTAAGGTTTAATCTATTACGTAACCCTCTTAGTTGGTGTTATGCTGGAACAGACTTACAGCTGACTCTCATTGGGTTTACAATGCTGTAACCCACAGGGGAGGAGACTGCCTATATTTCTCCCATGACTGACATGTACATAACAACTTACCTCTCAAAATCCACTGTCAGGAATATGTGACAGACAACATATCTGAGATTAAATTTTCGCTTTTTACCCTAAACTGTAACTTGTATTTTCTACCAAGCTAAAACACTTTTTGAATCTTCCTTTATTTCACTTTCCACCTTCAAAAAATTCTGTTCCCTGAGAATGCCTTTAATCTGCCCTGTTATCCTCATTCCTGCTGCAACTACCCAGACCAGCTAGTTTTTCTAATCCTGAGAAAGCGATTCTGTTCTGAGAATGCCTTTAATATGCCCTCTTATCCTCATTCCTGCTGCCACCACCCAGATCAGGTAGCTTTCCTAGTCCCGAGATAGCATTTGAACTAGAGATAGCATCTGAACTGGAGATAGTATCTGATCTAGAGATAACTTCTGAACTGTTTCCTCTGATGTCCACTTTGTCCCAACTTGGTCCATTCTTCACTGTGATCAGAATCTTTTAAAAATTGAAATCCACCTACTGTCACTTCACTGGTTAAGACTCTACACTTGTTGCCCATTTAAGAAAAAGTAAGAGCATATCCTAAAAATGAAGCACTTAGAAACAATTTCTAATTACTGGTAAACAGAATGTTTTGGTTCATTAGCTTCTTTCATCAAAGTGAATCAAATCTAGCTCTTGTTTTTATTAAGTCAAGTTTATTAAGTACATATCATTTATATTTACTTATATTTAAGAACTTTTTATAAAAGTAGGAATTCTTAAGAAACACTTCATTGGGTTTCATTCTGAAATACTTTTAGTAGCTTGGGAAGTTGCAAAGATAGTGCTGAGAAGTTCATGTACTTTAACTGTTATTGTTGTTGTTGTTACATGCCATCAAGTAACCTGCAACTCACAGCGACCCTATGTACAATAGCTCTGAAGCCTGCCTTGTCCTGAGCCAGGCTCACTGATTCTGACACACACTGCCCTTGTCACTGTATCAATCCAACTGATCTGGGGTCTTCCTCTCCTGCACGGTCCCTCCACCCTTCTGAGCATGATGTCCTTCTCCATGGATTGGTCCCTCCTGGCCACATGACCAGAGAATGTGAGATGGAGCTTTAAAAGTCTACTCTCCAAGGAAAAAACTAGGTTTCACCCTCTCCAAAATAGACTGGGCTGTAAATATTCATTAAAATTATTTTAAAAAATAAAATAAATGAAAAAAAATAGACTGGGGTTTTTTTGGTGGTCCATGGTATGCTGAACCACAACTCAAAGGCATCAATTCTTCTTCTGTCATTCTTAGTCATTATCAAGCTCTCTGATAAATAGCAAGTAATTGTCATGGCCCAGATTAGGTGCACCTTAGTACTTGAATCTCAGTACTCTGGAAAGGTCTCTGACAGCAGATTTGCCTAATGCAATTAATCTTTTGATTTCCTGACTGCTGGTGCCAACAGTGTTGATTGTGGAGCTGAGCAAGCTGTAACTGTTAACAACCTCAGTCTCTTCTCCATATGTCATTGTGCTGCCAATTGGCCCAGTGGTGAGAATCTTTGTCTTGATGCTGAGCTTCAATCCACAGTGAAGACTACTACAGGCCTTGAATTTCTGCAGCAAATGCTTCAGGTCTTCCTCAGTTTCAGCAAGCAAGGCTGTGTCATCTGAATAACGTAGGTTATTATGTACCTCAACTAGTTTCCTCACATCTTAGGTACCTGTAGTAGAGTATCAAAACTCAGAAATTAAATTGGTGTGATGCATGGCTGATAGTTCACTGCTATTTTCTCATAGATGCATACACGTATGACTGCCAGTCAGTCAAGATACTACAAAGTTCCGGCTGTTAACTATTTATTGTCACACCTACTCATCTAACTCCTAGAAACTACTTATCTGTTTTTCATTTCTATAGTCAGTCATTTCAGAATATTATGTAAATGAAATCACACGAATATAACCTATTTAAATTGTCTTTTAAAAAATTAATCAAAATGCCCTTGAGCAGTTGTTGCATAGCAGTTGCTGTCATCATTAAGTGCCATCAAGATGCCGATGACTCATAACTATCCTACGAACAACAGATCTGAACTGTGCCCTGTCCTGTGCCACTTTTCTCATCTCTGATATGCTGGAGTCCATTGTTACAGTAATTGTGTTAATCCACTTTGTTTTGAGTCTTCCTCTCTTTCTCTGATCATTTCTCTAAAGTCATTTTCTAAGGACTGGCCTCTCCTGACAATAGTAGCTTGTTACTTTGTATTACTGAATAACATTCTATGGTATGGATATATCACAATTTAATAACCATCCAAGAAATATATTTTTACATGGCCTACTGGCAAGAAGCTGCACAGCAATTCTAAAGGCATGTAGTTCAAGAACACCAGCTGCTCGGCGGAGAGAGATGGGCAATCTCCTCCCATGCGATTAACTGCCTCTGAAAATCCGGAGGGTGACCTATGGGTAGTTCCAACTTGATAGTATATAGCAACAACATCAATCTTTCTATAATGCAGGAGAAACAATGATACTTGCCTATAGTTACTTTTAAATAATTTTTTTCCCCTATGGTCCTTGAAAACTGTCTAGACAAGGAGATTTTAAGTATAAATCATTTCTTATTCCTATTTTTAAATATACGCTATATTATCATTATTAATGTTAGATCTGTTTCTAAGTGCTACATTTTGAGCATCTGCCTATATTTTGCTGTTGTTTTGTTTTTGCCCATAGCTAATTGAGAATATGCTCACTGAAGTGAGAACTCCTGAATCGTAACAGCCATCCCTAATTGTGAGCTACTCCAATGTGAAGGACGCACTGACCTCAGCACCATGGGCTCCAGGGCCTGAGAGGCTAATCGTTCAAACATGCGCTGGAGGGGCGGGTGAAGAGAGTGGTCCTCGTCCGCCAGTGCAGCACTGCATCTCTGCAGCAGTCGCGCATGAAGGCCGGCTTCACACATGACCTGTTGGTTTCTTTCTGTGTGCACCAGGGATTGTAAAATATTTGCCACAGCAAGTTGAAGGTCCAAAGCATGCTAAAGCCAACAAGGAAAACCATTACCAACAGGGCATTCTTAGTGAGAAAGGTGACTATTCATTCCATAGGAAAAACATCTTTTAACATGAAATCGTTTTTTTTTAATTCTTTTAAAGAGAGTTTTAAAAGAGATTTTTATTTTTATTATTTTTTTAACATGAGTCACACTAAACTCAGACAAATTACATATCTGGCTAAAAGTCACAGAACACTTTTAGAACAGGAATGTGAAGAAAATGTTCTATTCTCCTTTTGCTAGAGGTAAAACTAGCTACACTCTATTCTCTTTGAGGTCTTTGTGTATTATTCCAAAACCAATAGTATGCCTTCCTGTATATAAAAATACAAAAACTTTTGCAAAATAAGCAACTTAAAGGGAAGCTTATTGTTACACTTGTAATGCTACAGGCTTCAGGAGCCACATAAATTCTAGTAACAAAAAGAGTTACTTAAACTTCATTTCATGCAAATTCTTGAGCACCAGAAATCAAAACCAGAAAAAAATAGTGTCAATGTGGTCAGTTTCTTTTCGTTGTCATATACTGAGTTCAACTGCTGAGCAGGCTTTGAGGACTAGAAGTAACCACTTAGGTTGCATTTTAAAGAATGGATTTGTGCTTGAATAGCTATACATCCACTATTCATTATGAAAATGTAAATAAAAATAGAAATATACACTTGAGTATGTGATAGGAGATGGGTGCATATCACTTTTTGTCATTCTTGCCACTAGCGCCTTGCTTACGCAATCACACTCACACTCACATATGCATTAAAACCTGCAAAGAACCAGCAAGTCTAAACTTACTTCTGGCTGTGTCATTGACCCAACAGAGGCCAGGAGGTCCAACATAGCAAGCATGGCCCCAGGGTGGATGACAACAGCATCGGCACTCTGGAGAGACGAAGTGGTCACATGTAGTTTCAGGTCAGCAACATTTTTAGAAGGGTAAACAGGGGGAGTTGAAACTGAATGATATGCATGTCTATAAAAAGAAAGAGAAGAGGGTAACTTGGCATTTCATCTCAACCACATTCTCTGTTCATGTTCTTCATTTTCTTTCACCTTTATCCACTGATAAACAAATAGCCTCAGACATCAGGGATGAATTTCCAACTATCATAAGGTATGTAAAAAAGCAACATATTATATATGTTATAATATTACATATAAAAAGCATTATATATAGTTTTATATAGCTAAAACATACAAAAATTTAGTTATCATTTACTTTAGGACTTTAACTGTCTTTAGCGTACATGGTATAATGTGCTATAGATTGGGCTATTAATTGAAAGGTTAGGAGTTTGACTCTCATAGGTGCTCTGCAGGTGAAAAATGAGGCAGTCTCCCCCAATAAGGATCCTGGGAAACCTGATGGAGGATCTTGATTACCCAGAATCAATTTGGAGGCAATGGACTAAGTATCTTTTATGACTATGGTTGTTTCATTAAATAATGACAAATGCAGTAAAAGATGTTTCCAAACAAACCCCAACACTGGCATCCAGTTAATTCTTACTCATCGGAACAGTAAGCCAAAGTAGAAAGACTGCCTCACTGTTTTTCCATAGAGTGGCTGGTGTGTTTGAACTGCTGGTCTTTTGATCAGCATCTGAAAGCTTTGATTGCTGCACCAACAAGCTCCTCAGAAGATGTAAGAACAGACGATCTATAAGAGATCAAGTTTACCTAAACGCTTCAAGGTTTGTCTGTTTTTAAATTACCTATGTACTATTCCATGTGCCTATTCCTATGTCCATCACCTTCAGGAACTAAGATTGAGAAGGCCTATTCCATTACTATGCTACCCGTCTGAGAAATACATTAAACATCACCTAGTTTCCTTTAGTTTTATTTAGAAATAAATTAACTTTTTGCATTTATCCCTCCTCCACCATTGAGAAGACGATAACAATTTAGAAAACATTTAGCTGATAGACATTAAGTAACAAACAAGCATCTATGAATAGAAAACCTGGCCAAGTCTTTCGCCTTTATATTTCTTCTTGTGAATAATCTCCACATACTATTTTCATCTATGCTTCTATAATGCATGACTTTTGCACACTTTGCATTCTGGCACTAGGAAACAGATGCTTGTGGCTCCAGCCTATGGGAGTGCTTTGTTCCAGTGAAACAGTCTCAGCATAAATTGTCTATTTCTAAGTTCTGTCACCAAAAGCCGTGCCGTTTCAGCGCTCTGGCACAAGAACAGCTTGTAAAACAGATGCTTTACATCACTTATTTAGTAGCAGATAGCTGGCATGGCTATATCTTCAAAGAAAGCAAACTTCTCCTTTATACAGAAATTCTAGGAAAGTATTCAACTTCACTTAGAAAAAAACACATAGGATCTCCCTCTTTAAAATCTGGTGTATTCTCCATTCGTTTATGTCTTTTTTATACGCAGGTTTTTTACCAGATATATTTCATCTCAAAATTTGCAAAGAGATTTATAGTCTTACTACCACTACTACTATCATTCCTGCTACGCTACTATTTTTATTCTTTAAAATACTTTGATCCATTTAGAAAAAGGATCATTTCTCTGCAGGAATTTCCAGCCATTGATTTAAGAAACTCATAATATGTTAAATATGTTTTAGTTATTATATACACCTAAAAAAGACTCAAATTTGAAAAAATATTCTAATCACATGGTTTTTTTTTAAACATTCACTTTTTTTATAATTTTTTATTTACTTAAATTTTTTTTACAGAGGTTTTGGATTTCCATGAACCTTTGAAAATTAATTTTTCATTAACAGGACCAATAAATGAATTACAATTATAATCCTACCCAACAAGAGAACTCTTGTGTTTCTGAAAATGAAGTTGCATTCAATAATTTCTACACTGTTGGATCACCTTTCTTTGGAATGGGAACAAATATAGATTTGGCCAAGTGGTTGTCCTCCAGATTTCTTGACACCACTTGGTGAGCACATCTAGGGCAGAATCTGTTAGATGAAATACATCAATTGGTATACATCAATTCCTGGGGCATTATTTTCTGTCAATTCTTTAAAAGCAGCTTGAACTTCTTCCTTCATCACCATAGGCTCTTGCTCATATGTTGTTTCATGGAATTCTTCTGTGTCTGCCAATTCCTTTGGTACAATGACTCTGTATACTCTTTCCATCTTCATTTAATACTTCCTGGATAATTTAATATTCTGCCCAATGTATCCTTAAGTATTGAAACTTGAGGTTTGAATTTGTTCTTCAGTTCCTTGAGCTTAAGAAATGCTGAGCGAGTTTGGTCCTTTTTAGTTTCTGACTCCAGCTCCTTGCACATTTCATATAATACTTTATCTTCCCATGCTGACTTTTTAAATCTTCTGTTCACCTCTTTAATATCTTGATTTCTTCCCTCTGCTTTGGCTTTCTGTCACCCCAGTGCAAATACTCAGAGTCTCTTCTGTCATCCACCTTGGTCTTTTCTTCTTCCTCTTTTTAATGACCTTTTGTATTCTTCCTGGATGATATTCTTGATATCCTCCCACAGCTGTCTGCTTACAACTATTCTTCTTCCTTTGTATTTCCATACTTGAAAGTTCCACATCAGATGCACTATTAGTCTAAGTGTATTCTATTGTACATAGGGTTTTCAGAGGTCTGCTATTTCCTAGTCTGTCATAATATGAATGCTCAGATTCAGAAAAGTATCTGACAGACAAGCATTTTATGAAAAAAAAAACAAAAAACAAAAAAACAAACCATCAAAGATATTTCTCCAATTGTAGAATTAACCAACAGTTTCAGTGTTGTCCCTGCCCTGACACAAGTGTCTTGACACCTCCATTTTCCTCCTCCCCCATCCACAAGCATCCCCTTCCACTTCCTTCAACACCTGTCTTCTGTTGTCCAGCCGTTGATCTGATAGCTTCAGTATAAATATTTTTGGGCTTTATAGTAAACTGTAATGTAGTTACTGTTATGTGCCATCAAGTTGACTGCCATTCATAGTGACATTACAAAGAGTAGCTCTGAACCCTGTTCTATCCTGAGCCAGTCTCGTTGTCTTGGACACATTTGTTCCCATAGATGATATGGATATTAAACTAGAGGGAGCTTAAGTAGTCTAGTGGTAAAGAGCTGTGCTGCTAAACCAAAACTATGCAGCTTGAAGCATGCACCAACAGATGCTCCAAGTAAGAAAGATTATCCAATCTCCTCCTATGTGTTTAAAGACTCTGAAATCTGCTGGAGAACCAAGAGCTTGTTCTGACTTGATAGCATGTAACAACAACAAGAACATATTAAACTATAAACTTTACAGAAGTCCTTGTGGCCAAATTTGGAAGCAGGAGTGGCATCCACTTCCTAAACAACATGCCTCTGGAAATTCTATGAACTTTGATAAATGTCCATAGTTACAGAAAGGCTTCAGGCCTTTTGCTCATAGGGTCACTATGAGTCATGCTCAACTGAATGGCAATCAACAACAACAGTGGCCTAATACATTAGACGCTGGACTGCTAACTCAAGGGTTGATAGTTCGAATCCATCAGCTAATCCACCAGAGAAAGGTGAGGCAGTCTCATCAAGGTTTACAATGTCAGAAATCCAATGGAGAATTATGTGTTAGAACTGATATGACAGCGAAAGTGTACCACTCTATTTTAGTCTAGAGAAGTATACTACTTTATTTTATTATTTGTTGTGTGTGTACCATCTAATCGGATCTGACTGGTACAGGAGGAGATTGTCCCTCCTTCTCCAGCAGAGCATCTGGTGGATGAGAAGTATACTACTTTACTTTAAACTATTAAAATACAATACACTTTTAAACTTTCTTTTCTTACATAAGAAAATTATATTCTGCTGAAATGATATTACCTCTTTAGAGGCTGGAAAAACATTGCAATTATTATAGAAACCTAAAACATGACATTTCTTAATTAAATTTACATCTAATACAACAGATGTTAACACAATAGTAACTCTTATAAACTCACGTAAGATACCAGTACATGTGTCCCCACTTTTTATACTTAGGAATTATATGTTTATTTAATTATTCTTTTCAAGTGAGACCTTATATTTTTGCAAAAAATAGTAAAACAACATTACACAGTTAATTTTTAAGTTATGGTTATTTCTCAGAGTACCAGAAACCCCAATTTAATAAAGGCACTGAACAAAAGTAAACATGTTTGAATGACAGTCAACATCTACCTATTGAAGACTACCAATTTCTTCTTCACTTTAGGTAGGTTCTGGAAGGTTTTAATAATTATTTTATATTTTGTTTTTATTTATTCTATATCTAACTGGACAGAATTTAACCGAAATTCTCTTTGTTATTCCTTTTGGATAAAAATCATGAAACAGACCATAAATAGATTGTTTTCAAAATACAAAGTTTTATGCCTGTTTATAAAGTATTAAGAGTAGGGCATTTAGGCTTTTATGGACCAGAGCTTTATTACAAACTCAAAACATTTTCCTTATAAAAATACAACACAGTATCAATTTTACTGACAATAACAACAACAACAACAAAATCATTTTGTGACAAGAAACAAATCCTACAAGCCTATGTTAATTCAGTAAGACAGGTTTTAGAGATAGTGTGACCTGAATTCTAACTTCAAAACTTTGCATTTAGAAAATGAAAATACTGTTTTCTTCACAAGCTGATAGTTCTTATTGCTCAGCAAAATGTATTTACTCTAACTAGAATGGCAACCTGGAAATGTCAACACTGATCTTGTTGTTACATACCAGGAGTTTTTCCTCCCTGAGGCAGTACCAACCTGAAGTCTGATGTAAAATTCACATGGACTAAATACTGGGGCAGCTGATACAGTGACAGTTTCTCCTTAAGTCAAAGGACATGGCATCTTTAGATGCAGCTTTATTACAAATGATGATGAAATGTTTTTAAGGTCATAAATAACTCATAAGGAATAAAATGTATTCCTTTGTTAAATTACCATTTAATAAAAATTAAATCATGATGAAATTTCCCCCTCTCTGTCAGTGTGCTTCTTCATGCCATGAATCTCCACATAAAATACTTTGTCATTTTAGTTACTATATTTTGAGTCAATTTTTTCTTTTACTGTATCAGTTTTCAAGTCTTAATCATTTGTGATAGTATCACTATTATATTTCCTAAACAAAAATGAAAACTTTAGAAATTTAAACCATTTCTCTAATAACCAGTAGTTCTTTGGGACAGTAAACAGAAATGACTCTTTTAGGGACAGGAAGTCAGGTCAAACTGATCTAGTTCATGGTTTCTTGAATTAAGAACAATGAAAAAAAAAAGAACAATGACTTGCTCATTTCAAAAATAAACAACAGTTTGGAAGCATAAATATACTAAACCAAAATTTGTTCAAGACTACTGAGATCTCATTTAATGTAAGACAATGAGCTATAAATCCATTATACATGTAAAGGAAAACCTAAGTCTTTTCCATGTAACAATGAATATTACAACTAAAATATAATTAAAGAAAGAAACTATAACAATTACTGGTGACCCACTAACTATTCCCAACTATGCTATAGTTTTAAAATCAGAACAGAAATCACAAATGACAATAAAATAAAGCTCCAGGACCCATTTTTAAAAGCAATACTTGAAGAAAACGACCATAACCTAACTAACTGCACCTGATTATGAGGAAAACAGGAAGAAGTATATGGTGCCACTACACCAGGTGCAAGTGGAACGGAATTAGAGAAGGACTGAATAACTTTAGATAGAAAATGATACATAACCAAAGAGAACAAAATACCTAGGAAGGATTTTTGTACTAATAAGTCATCATAATAGCATGATCTTTTAACGGGATGAAGCTGCTTGAGAATATACACATTTCCTTGCCAGTGTCATTCTTAGGTAATGTTAATAAAATTTTATATATATAGATAGATAGATAGATATATAGATATAGATATAGATATATATAGATATATAAATAAATACTCTACCTAAACATTAAATCTTCATTTCTAATTTATCTTTAAAGCTTGCTTTTAGATGAATGTATATCTTAGTTTCAGTGATACAATAACAAAACATTCTAACATGTATTCATATCTTTGGATCATTAAGATATTTTATTCTTATAAATATATTTGAGAGAAAATTATAAAATTAAACCTAAAAACCCTAAAATTCAAACAGAAAGGGAAAAAAAGATTCAAGTTATAAAAACATAAGCATATCTGTGTGTAAGTAAACAAAGGAACAAAAAAGAACCCACATAAATATTGACTTCTCTTGTAAGATCAGTACCTTTTCCTGGACAAAGCTGGTGTACCCCAAGGAGAGGGGAGAGAAGACTCACTTGTCAGGCAAGGAGGGATCTGTTCTGCACGACTACAGACAACAAAACAGACGGGGGAGTTAGAGAGGTTAGAAGAAAACACCAGGTTGGCAGTTGGTTAGTTTCACAAGAAATACTGGTAAAAGTTTGATAAAGAGCATCCTCCATACTCTGTAGGAACAAGGAACAAGACTTCAACACACGCACAGAGTGAAACAGAAAGCATGCACATGGCAGATGCTTATTCCATTCATGTTAACATTTAACACATTGTTAAACAAAGCACTGTATGCTCTGCATTCGACAAATGAAACTAAAAATGAGGTATGTGATCAAGTCTAACTAAATCACAAGGGAAATGAGACTGAATCCAAACAAATTTAAAATTAAAGTAACTTATCCCTAGAACACAACTGGGGAAGCTCTGGTGACCTAGTGCCAAGAAGCTGTGCTATAATCCCAAAGGCACAAGTTCAAATCCACCAGTTGCTTTGCAGAAGGATGGGCAAACTTCCTGTGTCATTTACTGCCTCTGAAAACCTACTAGAGTGTCAATTATGAGTCAGTTCCGACTTGATGGCACATAGCACTAACAAGAACACAACTATCCCACAGTTTTTATAAAAATAAATGGGGAGCTTTGGTGGCCTACTGGATAAGCCAACACAAAAGCAGGAGGTTTCTATGCACCAGCTGCTCCACTGAAGAAAGAACGGCAATCTCCTCCCATATCTCTGATTTTTAACCTCTGAAAACTCACTAGAGGGTCAGCTATGAGCTGGTTACAACTCGACAGCACCTAACAACAATAATAACATGTAAAGAAATAGGGCTCTTTTGGTTTAGTGGGTAGCAATGTGCGCTGTCAAGCCAAAAGGGAACCAGTTTGAAACTATCACCTGCTCTATGGGAGAAAGATGAGCAATCTCTTCTAATGTGATTTATAGCTTCTGAAAATTCACTGGTGATGAAGATGGGGAGTATTAGCTATGAATCAGTTCTGAAGTGATATCAATCAGCTTTCAGTTTATAAATAAGGTTTTTATATTTAAGAAGGAAAAAAATTCTATTATATACTCTGATTTTCACAACTAAACATTAAGAATAAAAAAATATTGACATAATTAAGAAATAGCTTAGATATTTCAAAGGAAAGAAAACTGAAAAGACGTTCTAACAGAGTTTCTTAGCTCATTTGTAGGGGTACTATAGAAACAACTAGTTTATTTAGAAAGTAAGACCTTGGTAACTATTAAAAGTTAAAATACTTAAACAACTACTACGAATACCTTTAATATTATCTTCAAAATGAGAGCCTAACTGAAAACAGATTCAGCACTAAAAATATATAATTTAAGGAAACCAGCTCTTTTATGATCTGCCTAAAATAAGCGATTGACCTACCATCCATAAATCTGTCACAATATATTGTATTTGTCTACTCATTTGTAAAAAAAAAAAGCCCAAAGTGGCTAAGGTCAAGGTAATTTTAAGTAGAGTTGAATACACAATGCCCAGAGCAATGATCAACATGCCTTGGATTATTTATTAAGTATTTGCTTAACAAAGGAATGAGTAAAGGATTTGAAAGTCTTACAGATTTGTGGGCTCAGTATCTTTTAGGAAGTTATGCCTTTTTCAAGGATTATGAAAGGCTCTGAATGGAGGGAGTATCTATCACCCTCCTTGAAATATTTATAGTAATACGTTCTCAAGTGTATGATCAGTATCATTTTTATTCCGATGCACCTAACATTTTGGAGAATAAAGTAGAAAATGAGACTAACAGCAAATACCAGCATTTACCCAAATCTCACAGCATCCACTATATTAAGGGCAATAGGAATTAAACGAACTTGGATTTACAAATTATACACAGACTTTGATGCCAAAAATTTCAATATCGGAACAGTAAAAGTCACAATTACAATGGAAGAAATTTTTTTTTACAGTTTCTTTCTGATTCAATTTACCATTCAAGCCTTAATGCTGAAGTCATGCATAATGTACCCTTTTGCTCAGAAGACAGAGCAGAGTCATACCTGTCAAAAGAATCTGTGGCTACTTTGTAGAGATAAATGAAGAGTTTGCTGCAGTGCCGTAAAGTGGGAGAAACTGAGTCCAAAGAGAGCACATCTTCCTCTAGAAGTCTCTGAAATGGTTGAGTATTTGAAGGAAAGACATTCATGGGGCTTATTTTTCTTAAGTCTGAGAAGCAGCCAAGAAATCGAACAGCATCTGCTAACTTCTCATACTGAATCTCCGTCTTGAAGAAGTGAGAATTGGCGGGCTCATAGCGCATTGCCGCAGTCAATGTGCAGAAAACAGTGTGGAGAAGCTCAAACACTTGATTCTGGTTCACCTTCTCCCAGCCATTTTTTGGTGGACAGCTAAGAGATCTTTCCATAGCAACAAGCAAGGACGTAATGTACACAAATCCTCCCACTTTTCGGAAAACAGTTCTTGAGCGATGGCTTTCTCTAAGGACTGATAGGAGAGCCTGCAAAACACCAAAGCAAAATAAAAAGAGACCCATCATTCAAACTGAAAAATGAACATAAAACATAAATATCAAAAAGGAATATCATTCTGTGCACACATGATATGGGTGTTTTTGTCAACTACATAAAAGGCAGTTCTCTGAACTATATATTTTGGAAGCAAAAAATGGTGTTCAAAAGTTACAGATAATTTTCAGAAATATTACCACATTCTCTTTGCAAACAATACTGAATATACCACATCGTCGTGGTCGTCAATTGCCGTCGAGTCTTCCATGTACAATTGGGAAAATGGTCATGGGGCATTGTAAGCTAATCAAAGACATTACTTTCTTTTGTTATTATTTTAACATAATTTTAGACTTAACAGAAAGTTAGTTTAAAAAATTTCCAACTTTACTCAAAAGTTCAAAAAGTCAGCAAACAACAAAGGCTGGCAAGCCTGTGAAGGGACTGGAACTCTTATTCATTGCTGGGCGAAGGTAATGTGGAAGGTGATCTGCTGCTTTCTCAAAAGGTTGGATATGAAAATACCATTTGACCCAGCAATTCCACTATTAAGAATTACTCTAAAGAAACCAGAGCCATGACTCAAATAGATGTATGTACTCATGTTTACTGCTGTGTTATTCACAAACGCAAAGAGATGGAAACAATTTAACTGCTCATTAACAAATGAATGGATAGAAAAACTATGGTAGTCACACAATGGAATATTATGCAGCAATAGAAAAACAGTGAACTCATAAAACATTACACAACATGGAGGAGCCCAAAGGACATTATGCTGAGTAAAATAAAATGCCTCAGTCATACAAGGACAAATACTGCATAACACCACTGTTATAGACACAGAGGGAGGAGGTAAGAGAGAGAATGGGAAAAGAGTGGATAGTTAGTAACCACTGCTTTAGATCAGACAAGGGGAAGAACTATCCGAAAGGAATACATAATCCTAATATAAGGCATAATATGTATGATAACAATCTGGAACAAGGGTGCACTGCAGGAAATTCTGGGGGACAGGGTGAAAATGTGACAATGGAAGAAACATTAAAACCGTTTTGATGTTTTAAAAAAGAAGAAACCAGATCATTATCCAAATATAAGCAGTCTCTTTCTCATTCTCTGTATGCAGCTTTGCCCCTAAATGGTTCAACTGAAGGAAATGGTATCTGGATGAGTTGTACATTAGAGCTGTGAGCTCCCTAGGATTTTCGTCAGTTAATTAGGTGGCTAGGCTTTCTTAGTCTAGAAGCTATGGGGAAACCTGGTCAACATCATAGCAGCACACAAGCCTTCACTGACAGGCAAGTGGTGGCTATGGTCAGGAACTCTCACCTGGCTAGAGGCTAGGTCTCTCACATGCAAAGTGAGAACTGTACCAACAAATTATGTCATTCTGTAGTGTGTAGAAAGACTACATGGATTAAAATCCTGACAACTCTACCCTGTTGTTGTTATGTGCTGTTGAGTTCCATGTACATAACAACCCTATGTGCAACAGCTTTGAACCCTGTCCTGAGCCTGTATCATCATCTCTGACACATTAATCCCCATTACCCCAGTTACTGTATCAATTCATCTCATCTGAGGTCTTCCTCTCCTGCACCGTCCTTGTATCTTTCCAAGCATGATGTTCTTCTCCAAGGACTGATCACTCCTGGCCACATGCCCAAAGTATGTGAGATGTAGCTTCAAAATCCTTGCCTCTAAGTAGCAACTTGGTTTCATCTTCTCCAGAGCAGACCTGTTTGTTCTCTTGGTATTCCATGGTATGTTCAACACACTTCGCCAGCACCACAACTCAAAGGCATCAGTTATTAACATCCTTATTCATTGTTCATCTCTCTGATGCATAACAAGTAACTGCAAAGACCATAGTTTGGATCAGGCTCACCTTAGTCTCTAGATGAATACTGTTGTTCCTCAGTACTCTGGAAAGGTACCTGACAGCAGACTTTCCCAATTAATTTTTTTTATTTCCTGGCTACTGGTACCAAGAGTGTTGATTATGAAAGAAAGTTGAAGCTGTTAACAATCTCAATCTCTTCTCTATCAAGACTTTGCCAACTGGTCCAGTGATGAAAATCTTTGTTTCCTTGATGTTGCGCTTCAATCCATGTTGGAGGCTGAAGTCCTTGACCTTCTGCAGCAAATGCCTCAGGCCTTCCTCAGTTTCAGCATGCAATGTTGGGTCATATTAGAGGAGGTTGCCCATCTTTCTCTGTTAAGAGTTGCTGGTGGACTAGAACCACTAGACGTGTATCACAGCCTTTGGCTTAGCAGCACAACTCACTACAGACTACACTTCCAGAGCTCATAGGGAGGATGACTAAATTATTATATGACAGCAAAATTATATCATTAGTAACTGTCAACCCACTAAAAACTATAGCCCAGTCAAGTTGGCACCTTAACCTAACTATGACAGGGTTATTCTCATTTCCCACTGTGATGTAGAAAGTATAACATCCACAATACCTTTCTTAAGTCCCTGCCCTTGACTCTGACATATGGCTGTGTGGGAACATGCACACGGATATATTGGTCTATCCACAAGGGAACTGACTAGTTTCCACCATACCACCAGGTTTAAATTGAGGAGATTTGAGCAGCACAAATCTGGAGATTCTTACTTCCAACAAAGAAAATAATTTGGGGCTAGAGATTTCTGCACGACTCAGACCTATAGGAGAGTATCTGTAGCCACAACAGAAAACTAGAGCCTTAATGTGAGACAGCTGACCTGGGACTGCTGCCTTATGAAACCAAAGCCAGAGAGGCCTTTGCTCAAGGTTGCTGGAGGACTAGAGAGGAACGTGGAGGTGCCATTACTGGCAGGACTAAGAGAGCTTTGTAACACTGGCCTAAAGTCTCACATCTAAAGGGCCTGCCCTCCAGAAGCTATCCTGACTGAGAAACTGTAGCTTGCTGCCAACCTGAGTTTTAACTGGTTAACTTTCCTAATAAATTCCATGTGTGAGTATAGTTTTGCAAGGTCTATACTGCTGTTACAATAGATTTCAAACCCTGTAGAACAGTACAATGGGTGTTAGAATTAGTAGAAATAGGCAGAAGAGTGTGAGGGACAAATCTGAGACTTAGGGAAATTGGTTTTGTTCTGTAGATGCTGTTGATGGGGACAATGTCCTTTGTGCAGATAGTAGAGGTCAGGCTTGCGAATCCTCGTGATACCTTCACTCTTACAATCCCCTTGGAATTCATTACTGCCAGACGTATAGCTTTAATGTGCAAAATAGTCAGATTTTTTAACTATGGTCATAAATGTAAAACTTCATGTAAGGAGAGATACAATAAGTAAGGAGAAGATGTAGAGATTTATGGTGCTCGAGAAAAGTTTTATTTTTTTACAATAATGATTCTTCAGATACAAAGTTAAATCATATTTAATAAACAGCACACTTGCAACAACTTTTACAAAATTTGTAAAATGGGAGACCTAACTTGGTAAGCTAACTAGTTAACTGTTCTAAATTGCCCTAGATTTTTTTGACTCAAAGTGACCTTATTTAATATAAACTATACATTTCATTTATATGTTAAAATTTAATTACAGAGAAATCCCAGTGCATACACTGCATGTGTTTGCATGTGAATCTTTGTAAAGCATAATGGTGTGGTTGTAAGAATAAATAAAAATCCATAGCTATAAAGAGTTCTGGTAGACTAGAGAGGTAAGGAGTTTTGGTGGCAATCCAAAAGACAAGTTGTCCTGAATGCACCAGCTGTTCCAAAGGACAAAGAAGAGTAATCTCCATCCATGATATTTACTGCCTCTGAAAATCTGTGGAAGGGTCAGCCATGAGTTAGTTCTGACACAATGGTACAGAACATCAAGTCTTAGCAATTCTGCCCTAAAGAAACAATAGAGCAGTGTCTTAAATTGTAATATTTACAGAAGCAGACTTCCACCTCCCTCCCTCGTGGAGCAGACAGTCAGGTCAAATCACTAAGTGCTTAATACGGTGCCACTTGGACCATTTTGTTACAAGAATTCAGGGTTTAAAATCAGGCATCCAGCTTTATTACATAGGGCAGTACAAACTTAGCTATCTTTCAACTTTAGTTTTACATGTGTAAAACTTTAAAAGACAGTAATTTTTCTTTACAGGGCAGCTATATAAATATATAAAAAGCAATCCCCAAATTTCTAGTATACTATATGGCATTCATATAAAACTATTCATATACAGGAATTTCTTTAGCAGATGTATAATATTATACAATGAGTTCTGGTGGCTTAGTGGTAAAGAATTTTACTACAAGCCCAAAGGCACATGATTCAGATCTCTCTGTAGGAAAAAGAAAGGCAATATAGTCTTATGTCCTTTATTGCATCTGAAAATCTGCTTGCAAGATTTGATAATACCAAACAATAACAACAAATATAAAGCTTTATGAGTTATTTTTAAGATGCTATGTATTGTGGTTATGTACTGTCGACTCACATGCAACGCAGTGACCCTATGTACAATAGCTCTGAAACCTGCCCTGTCATGAGTCAGTTTCACTGATTCTGACACATCTACCCCCACTGCCCCATTTACTCTATCACTCCATTGATCCAAGGTCTTCTTTTCCTGCACTGTCCCTTCACCCTTCTGAGCATGTCCTTCTTCAAGGATGAGTCCCTCCTGGCCACGTGCTGAGAGTATGTTAGATGGAGCTTCAAAAGTCTAGCCTCCAAGGAGAAACCAGGTTTCACCCTCTCCCAGACAGATTTATTTCTTTTCGTGGAAGTCTAAGGTATGTTGAAGACTCTTCTCCAGCACCACAACTCTAAGGCATCAATTCATCTTTTATCATCTTTAGTCATAGTCACTGTCCAGATATCTGATGTAAAACAAATAACTGTGAAGACTATGGCCTGGATTAGGCGTACATTAGTCTTCAGACTGACTCTTGATTTTCAGTCCTCTAGAGAGGACACTATGAGTCGCAAACGACTCGACGGCACATAACAACAACACAACAA